GAAAAACAAAGTGCCATCACATCGAGTTTAACTTAAGGACATGGTTTGCCCAGTTGGGTACAGTATTAAGATCTCAATCACTAGGAAACAAAATCTGATCCACTCTTTCTTTCTGTTGTTGGCTCAATACACACCAGGGAAATCAAGTAACAAATAAACTGAGTGGCCAGATTATGACCACCCCATCAGTACTTCATTGGGCCACGAGATGACTTCGTTGGGCCGCCTCATGACTCCACGAGATGTTGAAAGGTGATGCGAGGAATCTGACACTGCACTGTTGCCCTTCTGTTGTCTTGTACCAGTCTTGCCACTCTCCGTTCTGCCCTAACATTGACTAGTCGCTGACGGCCACAATTCGCACGTTCAGACCCAGATTTTCGGCTGACAGTCCAGTCTTTAAACACTTTAACAACAGCTGCTCTTGAACATTTAACGAATTCTGCTGTTTTGCTGATACTCGCTTCATGGCTCAGAGCGCCAACAATCATCCCACGTTCAAAGGCTGTTAAATCGTGTTTACCCATACCTTCAGAAAAAAATCACCTCTACTGTCGTGGTTAACAACCTGCTTCCCTATTTATAATTTTCTGGCCCTCTAGCAACTTCAGCGCAAAATTATAGCTAATTTGCCTACAAACGTCAGGTGGTCATAATAATCTGGCCACTCAGTGTACAAGGGAGTATGGGTACAAAAAACAGATGTGGAAGAATGCTTAGGCACCAACTGTGTATTTCAGGTTAGCTAACAACAAGTGAGACTGGGGGGTCCTTTTGCTAGGTGCTAGGGGGCGTAACTGCAAAATCTGAACAATGTCTAAATTTAATGGCCACAGGACAGAAGAAAACACTAGTGTGACCTATAGTGAGCTTTAGTTATTGACACGTGGGGGTAGACTGGGGAATCTGTCATCAAGGGCATCCCTAGTCTTTTGGTGCCTGAGACAGTTGGGGGGGGGGGGGGGAGTACAATCAGTGTGAGGGGGTGGTGCTGGTGGAGAATGATGCTGATAAGAGCCAAGTAGGGAGATGTGTAAGGGCTCTGTATCTCCCTTCCCAGCTTAACAACCTGGAATGCATTGGCTGGCATTATTCGACCGAGCTCCTGGCAACCAGTAACATCACTGGTTGCCAAGAGCTCTGCAGAACACTGGCAAGATCATCCCAGGTTGCTTAGAGCTGGGCAGAGGTTGCCCAGCTCGTAACAACCTGGGACACTCTAGTCAGAAAGGGGGCAGCAGAAACACTGCAAACATTTTGCAGCAGGTGGCCATAGCGCTCTGTCTTTCACCCCCCCACGTGACCCAAAGAGATGCAGCCTGAGGCCTCATTATAGGGATGGCCCTGTCTGTCATACATAGCCAAGATATACTGATGGGTATTTTATTTGCTGACATATATTATTCAGAATTATTCAGAATTTCTTTGCACATTATGCTGTAGAAAAATATAATGTTTGCATTTTATTATGGGCTTCATTTCAAGTTTGAAAAATTGTATGCATAGTATAGAAGTAAGTAAAGTTTGGCTGTGTTTTATCTGATGTGATATGCATGATATAATAAATATTTTGTTTTGCTATCCAAGAAACATTCTCTGTTTTACAGTATTTGTTGGTTACCGTCATGTACCTGATGGATGCTCAAAGTGGTGAGGTTAACCTCTCTTGCTTCCGCATCGCTGATACAGACATGCAATAGGCCGCTCTGGGTAGGTAGACATAGGTCAGATGAGCAGGGACCAGCATGTCAATGCAAATTTCAGAGACAAGCCAGACAACATGCAGTCAGCAAAGTACAGGAATGGCAGGTGGAGATAAGCTCTAGCGGAAAGATGAGGTAGGACTCCGTTCTGCCCTAACATTGACTAGTCGCTGACGGCCACAATTCGCACGTTCAGACCCAGATTTTCGGCTGACAGTCCAGTCTTTAAACACTTTAACAACAGCTGCTCTTGAACATT